AAAAGTGCTCCAATGGATGATGTCCAGTGTTGCATGTTCAACTTTTAAAGAATTGGAGGAATACAAAAAATAAGGCTGGGATTTAAAAGGTTCCATGGATTGGACCAAACTTTAGTGAGTCCTACTATGTTACACTGACATCTCAGATCCATACACCGGAGTTTGTCCATCATTTATAGCAATAGGTTGAAACTTCAAATTTTAAATATATTTTGTTTTGGACCCATTTCTACACAAAGATAGTATGTATCAGTTTCTTTGATTTAGAAAGGCTATGCATTCAGCTAGCAAGATATTGTGTTAATACATTTTTTGTTGCTGTGTGATGATAATATGGCTGTTGGTGAATATGGACCTTTAAGGATGAGGTTTGGTATCTCTTGTGTAGGTGCAGACATTTAATAATCATAACTGTACATAATGATTTTTGTGTACGAGGTAGTGCTTTTTAGTAATACTGAATAAATAACAATAGTAAGTAAACTATTCTATTTCTTGGGCTCAATATCTTTCCCTGTAGAAATCCTTATTTGTTGAAACAGAATGAAGAAATATCTTTTAAATAAACATTTGTTACTTTTGTTGCAATGTAGAATATGTCCTTCAGAACATTAGCATATTTTTATAAATGCCAGTGTTTTTTACTGTTACTTTTTTCTCATTGTTTTGTTTACATTTTTTTGAAGGTTTCCCAATGAGTGGATCATGATGAACATACTTTAGGGACTTGCCATAGCATGGCTGCTTCTCGATCTACTCGTGTTACAAGATCAACAGTGGGGTTAAATGGTTTGGATGAAAACTTTTGTGGTCGAACCTTAAGAAACCGTAGTATTGCTCATCCAGAAGAATTATCTCCTCATTCTCAAGTACGATCAAGATCACCAAAGAAGAGACCAGAGTCTGTGCAAACTCAGAAGGGAAGTAACAGTGGAAAAACTACTGATTTGAAACAGCAAAGTGCTCGGGAGTCATGGGTGAGCCCAAGAAAGAGAGGACTGTCTACTTCTGAAAAAGATAACGCTGAGAAACAAATTGTGGAAAATTGTGAGAAAAGACAAGCAGAACCTGTATCGCCAGTTTTAAAACGAATTAAACGTTGCCTACGTTCAGAGGTACCAAGCAGCTCAGAAGAGGAATTGCCTACTAAAACAGAAAAGGACTCATTGGAGTGTAAGAGTTCAATATCGGACAATGATGCAGACTCTGCAGGGACTAAACGAGCCTGTCGATGTCTTATATTGGATGATTGTGACAAAAGGGAAGTTAAAAAGGTGAATGCTTGTGCAGAAGGGTTTAATAATTCTGCAATAGTTGAAGAGCTCACAGACCATCAGGCTGTCAATGGGGTTGATGAGAGAGAATCAGATGCTCTAAATTGTGATGACTGTCAGCCTGATGGGAACACTAAACAGAACAGTGCTGATTCCTGTATGCCCAAGGAAAAAACGGTAGCAGAAAATGGGAATTCATTTCCCCATTCTTCATTGTTGCTTAATAGCAGCAAGGAGGACAGTGTTATAGACCATTATGTGCCTTGCACAAATTCACCAGAACAGGTAAAGTTAGAGGACCACAAAATAAATGACTGCTTGCCTGCGGAAATGACCGTTCAGGCAAATGAGCCAGCTACGGGGTCCTTTTCTGAAACCCAGTCATCTTTCTTAAGGGATTCTGAGGAGGAAGTAGATGTGGTGGGAGATAGCAGTGCCTCAAAAGAACAGTGTGCTGAAAACACCAATAACAACCTGAACACCGGTCATGATAGTACATCAATCTCAGGTGAACCTGAACCACCATCTTCTGTGCTGGAATGTGTTTCAGCTCAAATTACTTCTATGTCGGATCTTCAAGAACACAGATACACATTGAGAACTTCACCACGAAGGGCCCTTGCTAAAGGTAGCCCTACAAAAAATAACTCTCCTTGTAGAGAAAATGGGCAGGTTGAGGAAAACAATCTTAGTCTCACTGAAAAGAATGTATCTGCAAGTACTAATATCATCAGTGGATCTCCCATAAACTCTAAAGAAATGATGCAGAATGAAAAAGTGAGAGGTTGTGACTCTGGAGATTATGTGAGTGATGGACTAAGTAAGCCACCCTCTGAGGCTCGACTAATTGCTGGATATATATCATCTGCCAAAGAGAGTGCCAACCTGCACACTGCAGAAGATGATGAGGAAGAACCTGATGTATATTACTTTGAATCAGATCATGTGGCATTGAAACACAACAAAGAGTATGTGTAACTATGGTAACCATGAATTCTGCTTTTGTTCTTTAGCCAAAAATCTAATATTCCAAAATTATCTAAGTACTTCCACAATAACTTATGTATTTATATTTCTTAATTGTTCAGTTATTAGTTTTCATAAATACTTTAAACTCAATCTTCATTTCTCCTGTCTTCTCAAAAATAACCTTTAATCTTTTTAATATGCAGTGTGGTACAGCAATGTGGTTTATACAGTTCTGATAATTTAAGTTTCTAGCAAAAAAATATTTTTTGAAACACATTTCAGTTTTTCACCTATAGGGAAGTTGAAGAAACCAAACTAAAAGATTACAGCCTTTAACTAGAAATACTTTGATTATTTTTCATCCTGTCAGTTACAGTACATACAGGTTTATTAAATAGTGATACTGCTATCCATAACAGAGTATATAAACAAACTGCTATGGAATCCATTTTCAAAGCAGGGAGAAAATTAGCTTTTTTTCGTGTCAATTAATTTGAGTTATTTTGCTGAATTCCAATACAATGATTTGAAAACTTACACCAGTGCTGTCATTTGCATCATGTTTTCATCTATAGTGACATTATTTTAGCATAAAAAGTACAGATGGATATTCTAATTACTCTTAGAAAGTGCAAATGTGATTTGTTTACTTCAATTTTACTAAGAGCTATTCAGATAATCACAAATATGTAATATGGTAAAAGTCCTTGTAAAGGAAAAGCACTGATTATTTTTGTAAACAAAGTATACATGGAAAGAATTTGCCCATATATGACAGATCATGTCACAACTTTATGCCAAATGACAAATTAAGACCTTTTTAAAATTTGTGTTTTTGTTTTTCTTACTACTTAGTATATTGTCTAGTTTTTCTTCTGAGTACTGAAATACCAAAACTATTAAATGCAGAGGAGCTTTACTTTGTTTCATATGAACAAACAAACAAAGTTATTGTTAGCTATAAGACTTGACAGAAGCTGTGGTTTGCAGAGATAATGACACCCCTGGGGCATTATGAAGCACAAGACACAGATGACTGTCTCTATTCCTGCAGAAGTTTTGACTGTGTTGTTATGACTTGTGGAGTTACATTATTGCTGTAATGAAATTTCTTCAGTCTTGGCTATAAGTAATTTGCTTTGATTAGAGAACACTTCCAGTTAAAGTATGCAGTAGTTCAGCTGTGAGGTTTGCATAAATTATCCTTAACAATAATAGTGTGCAGACACTACAGCACTTTTTCAATGGCTTTGCTGTTCACAGACATTGCATATTGTACAAAATTAAATGTGTGGTAAAGGTCAGATGAAATGGAAAGCTGATCCTTTTTTAGGGTTTTCTTTTGTTTTATTTAACAAGGTGACCTATTTTAATTTCATGTCTATGTAAGGACAGTGTTTCTCTCAGCTCTGTAACTGCTGCTTATTAGAAATAGAATGGGACAGTGGGGCCTTGCATTTTGCTCTTCTAAAATTAAACATACAGAAAACCAACATTATTGTAGGGGAAATCCACATATGGATAAACATTAGAGAATAGTGCATTTAATTTCTCTGGTAGTGTGTGCAAATGGGTGTAAATCTATATTCCTGTAAAGTTAGAAGCTAATTTGAGACCACTTTGAAACATGGACCAATTTGTTAATATCTATATGTATATGATTGCTTTTTGAATTTGACTAGTTATTATTGATTTTTGGCAGGCAACTTGTGACATCTGGTTGGAATGGTTTTGAAAATAGATATATTTATAGGCTGCTTCTAGCCACTGGTGATTATTAAGGGGTAATGATCTAAATGCAGAATTTTAAGCAAATTATCTCAGTTTCTGAGATGTAGAACATTCCATCAGTAGATACAGCAAGAAAGTGGGACTTCTGCAATCTTCTAGAAATCATGGTATAAATCAGGGAAAGATGGTGTCCTATTTTGAAGTGCAAACTATTGAAATACTGTTATTTAATCTTGAGCCTTTGTACAAAGAATGGGCAAGTCTGCGGTGAGATTAGCAGTGTGCACCAAACTCCCCTCTGTGGAAACTGAGTGTGAGTTTAAATGTCACTAGTTTACATTAAGGTAGTTACTTTAGAGTTTCTATTATAGAAGGCAGATACTGATAGTTCTGTTTTATTTTGGCTTTACAGTGCGTGGTGGTCTGTTTAATAGCTCTGCAAAGAGGATAACCTCTCAGTATCTTACAGCAATTCATGATTAGCCATGCTTTTTCTTTGTGGATGAATTGTGCTCTCTTTGTGCACCCTTTAATTCCTTTTATAAGTCAATCCAGGCAGTCATTCGATCGATGACACTCACTATCACTCCATAGGTCATCAGTGAGAAATCGGGATTTTTCTGATAGCCACCTGTACTGTTAACAAAGAGTGTCCAAATTGTGGTTCCCCCCCACCTCCCTTGGGTTACAGAGGAACCTTTTGGATGTCGGACTGGATCTAGGCCATCCACTACAGGGCAGGGAAGGAGCCGCCGCGCTGCCCTGCTCCTCTCCCAGCTCTGCCCTGGCACCCTCTCTCCCATCTGGCATGGTCAGGCTCCTGGCCCCAGCCTTGGCTGCTGGCTGTGGTACTGCACCCAGCTTTGTTCCTAGACCTTCCCTTTCTCCCCATCCCCCAGAGCCACAGCTCCACTCCCAGCCTGGGTGGGGGGAGGGGAAGGGGAGTCAAGACAAGTGTAAGGGGAAGCATGACCATGAAAAGTTACTACTGCCACAGAACAATATATATACAAAACTGCTCAGCCTCTAATATCCGTAGTTGTCTCATAAATCTTAATTGTGAAATTCATAAAACCTAAGTTTCACTATGTTTGAAAATGGCTTTGTTTTATACAATATTATCAGGAGTTGTAATTTACTGATGAATGCTAAATTTATATTGATGTTATTAATTTAAGGTATTTCCTACTGTTACTTACCTCAATAATTACAGTAACTTTATTTGTAAAATGTTCATATTTCCATTTAGAATGTTAGACTGTGCTAAAATGCTCATCAAAAACCCTTAAGATTTGTTGCCCAGAAAAACAAGGCAATAACATATCTTTTGTGGCCTTTTTATGTGAAACTGTTTTTATTTGACACTATTCATAAAACGTTTTTATTTGGACACTTCTAAGAAAATATGAAAATACTACTGGAAAATAAATACCACAAATTGGGTGGATAGTGGAATATTATTATTTATATTCGTTATAACAGCCTTTGCCAGGTTGGGGTTCATGGTAAGCGCTATACAGTCTTAAAGCAAATGACAGTCCCTCCTACAAAGAGTGATTGAGAATACTATAATCTATAGTTATACAGTACAGGTTGAGCCTCTCTCATCTAGAACTCTCTCGTCCAGGATGATTTTAGTTAGCTGGATGTCCACTTTTCATGGGTGTACCCAAATTTCCCACGGCCCCATAACATTTGTTTACAGCCACCACTCCTAGCTCTATGTTCTGTGTTGTTACTTAGCTCTAATTTACCTCTTAAATGTCTCCAGCACAGTAAGCATTGGAAGTGTTGGTAATGCTGCTAGACAATATTGACCTCCTGTGGTCCAGAAAATTCTCTTGTTCAAAACTGGTCAGGTCCTGAGGGTTCTGGACTAGAGAGGTGCAACTTGTAGTAGAAATAAATAACAGGCTAGGATCTAGAGTTTATATAATTGTAAAATGTGTGTGGGAGGGAGTGTCCTTTTTGTTTCATGTATCTATTGTTTGTTCAGGCTTTGGTTTTGTTTTTCTTTGGTGCAATTTCTACTCTTACAAGTCTTTCTGAAAAAATATCAGTTCTGTATATAATTTAGAGTATTTTTCATATAATTTTCCAGTACATAATTATTACGTTTTAACACTTTTCAAAAGTCTTTTTATTTAGTTGCCTCATTGCATCTTAATACTCGCTAATGTATCCACTTGCTGTCTCCTTGTCAACCTTTATCATTCCTATCAACTTGCTTACCCTAAATTGTCTGTCTTCTCAATTCAGGCTTATTGTTTTCTGTATCTTTCTCTTTGTGCTGCTTTTCATTTTTCCTTAAATCTGTCTCTTTTCTTAACCTACTACTCTCCACTTACATTACCTTTCCTGTTTGTCTTGAAATGCTTTACATAGATACTTAGACAGGGACTATGGGCTGGGGGCTGGAAGGGTCTGCTCAGAACCATCTTTTGAGAGATTGGCTAGTCCCGTGGCCAAGTTTAGGTGAGTTCATTATACCTTTATGCATTGCTCCACAGTTATGGACTGAATCTGAGATCAGTTTTTCATGGGGACACGTGTACTTGCATGGAATCCCATTGAGCTCAGTGGGGTTCTGCACAGGCGCAAGGGCCTATATAAGGTGACTAGATATAGACCGAGAAACCTATATATTCCCAATAGACAAGTGTTACCTTATCTTTCTGCCTACGTTTATTGTACTTATAGTTCAAAAATGATGTATTCGTATGTGAATTTAAAAGAAAAGACAAAGAATGTATAATACTTCATTATATTTCTAAAATCTCTATTGCCTGTAATGGATTGTTTTGTTAATGTGGAGCCCTAGTTGAAGCCAGTGAGCTTGTGCAGATACAAGAGTCTACCTATGGACAAAGAATTACAGAGTCACACCAAGATACATTTATGATAATTTTCAAACAATATAATTAATACACATACATTTTAACTTTTAACTTTTACAATTTTTTATGACATGTGCACACCCACTTATTTTGCTGTCCCAGTTATTTCAAAACCTTCTTACAGAGGACCCATTTGAAGTATACATTTATAAGTATACAACTTAAATTCTACCTTGTAATGACATCATGCAGTTATGAGTTGTGCCTAATAGTGCATGCCGCTCCAGTTTATATTATACTGATTTTGAGACACATTAATTTTTTTCATTATTTCTCCCTTCAAGGGGCACACCATCTTTCCTGAGGGAAGCTTAACGTTAGTCTTATTTGGAACAATGAGGCCTGATGGTTATTTTGAAAAGGGACTTTTTTTACTTATAAGCAGCCTTGTATCACCAGACATTAAGAACAATAGGAGATGGCAAATACTTTGAAATGGGACAGTTCTTCATATTCTCTATGGAAGAATATTATTTGATAGCTGCAATTGAAGAAGATATTTTACTTTTGAAGACTAATGGTAATAAGTTACCCTTGATCTTTAAAAACAGTCTCCAGATATAGCCTATGCGTATTATTAGAGTGAATGCTAACTATGATATGGGCCCTTGTTATTCTGTTAATACTACTAAGGACAATATGGCCTGAGAGGGAAAAAGCTTTAGTTTATTTTAGCTCATAAAATACTTAATGGGTTTAGCTGCAGATTCAGAAAATTAATTCTGTGTTCAAAGACCACAATGCTATTACAGTAAACTTCCGATAATCCGGCACCTTTAGGATCCAGGAGGTGCCGGATTATCAGATATGCTGGACTATTGGAAGGGGGAGCTATGAGGGGTCTGGAGTGGGGTGGGGAGATGCCACCTCAGACCCCTCATAGCCTTGCCTTCCGATAGTCCGGCTCTGCCCCAGGCGTCCCTGATTCAGCCGCTGCTGATCAGTTTCAGCAGCGACTGAATCGGGGGGGCGGGGCCCTTTTAGCCACTGTATCAGAGGCAGCAGCATGGGGTCAGTTTCAGCAGCGGCTGAATCGGGGAGGCCGGGCACAGAGCAGCTCCAATTGTCCGGCAGCTGGAGCACTTCCGGGTTCCTGATGGTGCCGGACCATCAGGAGTGCCGGAGCATTGGATGCCGGACCACTGGAGTTTTACTGTACCTTATTGAGCTTTGGTAGAATTTTTCATAGAAAACGAAGTGATTTAATCCTGATTCAACTGAAAATCTGAACTTTATGCTTCTACTTTATTCTTCCACAGTTGAAGGAGCTGTACAAGAAACCTTTTGTATGAGTATTACAACTACTGTAGTAATACAAATAGGTTTTTTTGCAAAATAGCATTATACTAACAATGTGAATGAATTATTAGTGAAGTTATGCTATTTTTATAAGAAATGCAACCTTGAGAAAGCAATAGGTATAATAAACTATTATATTAAATATTCAATTAATAAATAAATTAACTCTTCACATGACTTGAAAAATGATTTTGGCAAATTACACATGACTAGTAAAAAGCTTGGGTGAATGCTTTCAGTTTTTACAGAGTAGCTTTAAAAAAAAAGAAATTAAAAGTTTGCAGAAATAATCTTCAAATTTGAGTGGAGTCTAAACCAATATAATGTTGTCTTGCTGAGGCAGCATGTGGACTACAGTTCCACTTCCTTTGCCATCTAGTCGTAGCTTTGCCAAACTGCAACAGAGTAAAATTAACTAATTTCATTGCTGTCCCTAGGACTCTGACAAGAATGAGGTCAGTTTCACTGTGTAGCTGTCTGGGAAATCTCTGACTAGGAACACAGCAGGCATTGCAGTTGCTTATTAGGAAGAAAAATTAAATAATTTGCATATGAAGGGAGGCGTACAGTAGTGGAAACATCTCCCTAAAAATAGCCAGAATGGTATGGTAAAGGAATAGTCGAAGCAGCCATAAGACAACTAATGGTATAGAAATGAAGACTGCCAGTGTTTTGGTTTTTTTGGTTTTGGTAGGGGCCCTGAAATGAAAGAGGAGCAACAGCATGAGACAAAATGTGCATGCTCTTTTTTTCTTTCTGGGAGACAGGTGGATTTATGGAGACATGGACAAGAACACTACACATTTATTATACAATTAGTAGCCAGAGACTGATTTTAAAGTTAAATTCACCTAAGATCTAGGTATGACACCTTTGTATTTATTCCTATACCTTCCCATTCCTTTGGCACCTGGACATTGGGAATTCCCTTATCATTTCTGTTGGTCTTTGACTAACATCTTTAATTATCTGGCTCTTAAGAATCTGTTAAAATGTTAAATTTATATGATGGGTTGGGTTTAGGGTGTGTGGGAGAGTGTTCATGGGTATAGAAAAAGGAGGAATTTACACAAAATAGGAGAGCTACTTGTGTTGTTGAGAGAAGAAGAGAGAAATTTAAAGAGGAGATATCAATCACAAAAAGATCAAAGTGTGAAGGGAGCAAATCAGGATTGTTAAAGAGGGAGGAAAAAAGAAATGTTATAGGTTTGTATTTACTTTTTTTTAATGTAACTTGAGTCACATGGTGTAATGAAAAGTACCCAATAAACAGTGGATTTATTCCTTTAAGTTATTTTCTTGGGGCACCACTTCATCTGCAGTTTTTATCCTGGTTAATCTACTTAGTTTTGGGGCAAGTCTACACTACAAAATTAAGTTGACATAACTTTTGTCAACGTACAGCCATCCTAATAATTAAATTGCTTTTGCATGTCCTCACTATGTTCCTTGTAGTGAGAACATACACCACAGTCACTAGCACTTGCATCTAGTGCATTGTGTTTTGGGAAGGGTTTGCAATACTTCATGAGGGCATATGAATTACACGGGAGACTGGGAACATAGTGTCATTGTCCCATGATCCCATTTTCTCCATTTTATATTGTTATCTGTATTCTGTAAAGTCTTGTGTCTCTTTTCAAAAGCCCGGCAAACCTGTGTGTCTACCATGCATGTGAAAAGATTGGATTCTGCAGAGCTCTGCACTATTGTGATAAGTACAGGCAGTCCCCGGGTTACGTACAAGATAGGGACTGTAGGTTTGTTCTTAAGTAGAATTTGTATGTAAGTCGGAACTGGTACATATTATAGGGGAAACTCTAGCCAAACATTTCTCCAGAGCTCAGTTTTATTCTCCCACACCTCACTTCCCTCAGTCCTTTATTCTCAAGCTGAGGTGTCTGCTGAGAAAAGCCTCTCCTTGTCTCCCTAGTCTGCTGGAGGGGGGGCACTAGCTTCCCGTCTCCCTGGTCTGCTGGGGGGAAGCAACTAGTGCGGGGTTGCCTCACTCCATTTGTAAGTAGGGATCTGATGTAAGTCGGATCCATGTAACCCGGGGACTGCCTGTATTGCAAACACAGCACTCTCCATATTTGCAGAGCCACCAGAGGAGCTCTGGGGAACATGATGATTCCTTGGAGGCTAGCTTTCTGTGGGAGATGGAAACAATTCAGAGTTGTTGGCATTTATGGAGCAGCTGCAGATGGTTGAATGCCAATTGTGGGCCCAAAAAACACATTGACTGATGTAATCAAATCATTATGCAGGTGTGGGATGATAAGCAGTGACTGCAGAAATTTCAAATGCACGAAGCCATATTCCTTGAACAATGTGCAGAACTCGCCCAGACCTCCAGTGGAGCGACACAAAAATGAAAGTTGCACTGACATTGGAGAAATTAATGGAGATCGTTTTGGGAAAGCTTGTTAACTCCAAATTGCTGCTAGTTGGTCAGGAATCAATTTGGAGTTGAGAAATCCACCCTGGGAGTTACTGTGATGCATGTGTGCTGGGTGATTAAGTACATCCTGCTACAAAGCACTGTGGCTCTGGGCAATGTGTAGAGTGCAGTAAATGGTTTCATAGCAGTGGAGTTCGTAAATTGTGGTGCAATAATAATTGACATGCATATCCCTATTTTTTTTCCACCAGTTTACCTTGCTATATGATACAGCAACAGAAATGGCTACTTTGCTATGGTATTGGAAGTGCCAGTGGAGCACCAGGGATTTTACTTACCTCCATTGAGAAAGATCAGGGAAGGTACATCCCATACACATCTTTATGAACAGACCATTGTGAATGTTGAAATGCCTGTTGTGATCCTGGGAAACTCAGCCTACTCCAATGGCTCATGGAGCCAGATATCCGCCATCTCAGTAGAAGCAATGAGTGCTTGAACTATAGGCTCAACAGTTGAGAGTGACAGTTGAATGTGCCTTTTGCCCTTTGAAAGACTCTGGTACTGTCTAGTCACAAGATCTGACTTCAGTGGGGGGGAAAAATCCCAATGATTATAGCAGCTTGTTGTGTGCTTCGGAGTATCTGTGAAGCAAATGAAGAAACATTTCCATGGCTCTCTGTCTGCTGATATTGAGCAGCCAGATAGCATCCTGTTATCGCTGGTATAAGGCTCAGGGAGATGTTGAAAGAACATTTTAAGTGAGCCACAGTAATTGTGTATAGCTGTAGTGTGCTCTGCCTAGCATTGCTTTTTTTGTTTTGTTTTTTTACGTTCTAGTATGAATGAGTGCTCTGTAAGTTTTTAGTAATGTTGCAAATGCACCTTTTGCTATTATCTGTGAGTGTCTGTCCCAACTAGCATATGAATTAGGTTTCCATAGACTTTTATTCCAAACTCATATGAGAGAGGTATTTGTAACTGAATGAAACTTTATAAATATAGGAGAGAGAATCTTTGAAGGGGAATGAGCAGTTATTTTCATTTCACAAACACATATGCCATCTGTGTATGTCTCAGGTCAGTGCATGTGTGGTTCTGATTGTTTCTTTGTATTTTCCCCCAAAGCTGGTGTGGTAGAGATAGTGCAGCTGCCTTGGATGCCATGTGGAATGTGTGATAGATGTGTATGGAGATACTAGAATGTAGTTCTGTATGGGTTGCAGAGAAAGGCAAGCATGAATCTGTGCTACCTGAAGGTCAGCACGTATCTCCAGTATGTCTCCTTTCCTGCTAACGAAACACTAGCATCTCCTTCTGCACATCTTTCCTTTTCTTGTGCTTTTTTCCTCTCTGCTCCATCCATGTCCAGGGTGATCCACCAAGACCTGAGCTCAGTAGCCAAAGCACCAGAGTCTTGCAGGATCTTGTGAAACATGTCACCCCATGTCCTGTTTCTTTTCATCTGTCTTAACTGCTATGCTGGTGTGGAAGGAGATATGCTAAAAAACACATTTCTAGTTACAAAAGATATAGTGCACAGAGATACTATTGATTATACAGTAATTCCTCATTTAACACGTGCCCGCTTAACACATTTTCGCAATAGCACGATTTTTTTAGGGAACGTTTTTTGAATTACCTGACCATCCCTGGAATAACACGATTTCCCCAGCCGGCAAGATGCCGGCGGCTGTGCAGGGCTTTCCCTGCAGAGCGGCGGAGGGTTTGCCACTCGCCGCGCCATTCCCCAGCGATGCCCCCTCACCAGACGCAGTGCGGGTCCCGGCAGACCCATCACAGGAGCATACTGCCAACCCAGTCCCCCTCCCTTCTCCTCCCCTTCTGTTCCCCAGAGCCAAACACCTCCCCTCCCTGGTGTAACCCAGTCCCCTTTCTCCCCCAACCTTATGTCCGGGACCCAACAGATACCACCACTTGAGACGCAACCCCCACCTTTTCCATTATTTTCAGTGAGAATATTGACCCTGCATAACACGTTTTCACTTAACTTGATCATTTTCTGAAACCTATCTATAGTGTTAAATGAGGAATTACTGTACTCCCAAGATAAATGGAAACTTAGTATACTGAGCTCACTTTTCTTTGACCTACACAAGTTACAACACTATATTTTCACTTCCCCTGGAAAGAGCAAGGTAGCAGTCCCAGCCTTGATGCGTATGACTCAGAGAGAGGGAAGAAGGCTAGTTGGGACAGTAAGATGGGGTAACTCATGAACATGAGTGTATGCTGATAGGCTTAATGAATTGAAAACTGGCATTGTTTTCCACAGATGGTGGTGGTTTTAGCAAATATCTTACTTCTGAGGGTTACAGAGGCTGAAAGGGAACAGCTCCTACACACATCCAGTTGTAGATCAGGTCCTCATACTGCTAGCATGAGTGCTGCAGGGGTACCCTCTGAAGTAATTGCTGAGTGGCATGGGAAAGTATTTTAATGCAGCAGAAGAAATAAGGAGACCTCCCCAGAAGCCTTCAGTAGAATATTGCAAATGACCTCCAGGAAAGTTTCCTCAAGATCGTGATGGAGGATTCATGGGACACCCCTGTGTACATAAACTATTCTGCTGTGCCCCCTCTAAGTGTACATAGGAAATCACAAGCAGATAGCAAGTCTATCTATGTTGATGATTTCCTACCTCTTCTAGCACGATTATAAAAGAGTAAATGAACAGATGTATCCCTGCAATATCAAAGCAAACTCCATGGTTACCAAAGGTTTCTTACCCTGCATCAGACTCACCTGTGCTGAACTGTAGGGACTGGCTCAACCGTAACCTGAGCTCCAGCACCCAAGGCTGAAGCCTAAGATGTTGAGCTTTGGCTCTGGGCAGTAGAACTCATGCGCAGGCTTCAGTCCTGGGCCCCAGTAAACAGGCCCACCAATGGGAGGGGCAGGGGCAGCAAAAGAGGCAGATACCCTGGGCCCTATAAATTGCTGCCAGAGCCCCATGTGGTACTGAAGGGCTGGCTGAGGAGAGATTAGCTTCCTGCCTCGCTCCTTTTGCCCAAAGCCCTGCCCCTTCCAGGGGCCTGGAGCTGGCTTTGCCATACTTTGCCCAGGGCTCTGTGAAGTCTTGTCAGGAACCCTGCTAGCAAGTTAACACCAGCTTTGGCAACACCACGAAAATGGGGTTAGAGCCCACTTTGGGTCCTGGCCCACAATTTCAGAACCACTGAAGTAGAAGAAAGGCATTTTTAGCTCAGAAGAAACAAGAGGAAAGTATTCTGATACCTCTACTAAACAAACATGGGACTTCTGTGTACTATTCCTTTTGGTTTTATAGCTGATCTAATGTGGTATGTTGTTTCCAACAGAGGTACCTATTAAATGCTTAAGAAAAAATGCAAGAGTGTGCAGCAGTGTGTCTGGAAATTTTCTTCTTAACCCAAGTATTTTTTCAGTCTTATAGATTTTAGGGCCAGAAAGAGGACCATTATGATTATCTACTCTGAGCAGCATAACACAGGGCATGAAATTTTACCCAGGGATTCCCTCAAACTCAGTAGCTGTGGTTTTTTTTGTTTGTTTGCTTGTTTGTGTTTTTAATATAGCACAACTTTTTAAAAAGACATCCTATCTTGATAAAATCTACAATATGCCTTGGTAGACTATACCAGAGGGTATTTATCTTTCATGGTTTAAAATGCATATATTTTTTTCAGTTTGAATTTTTTTAGCTTCATCTTCTTGCCATCATCGCATTTTACTGTGCTTTGCTGTTATTGAAGATTTAGTCTTAAAGTAATACTTACACATGATCCCTTGCATCAGTATTCATTAAACTGTTCATGACTGCAAGTTCATGTCCTTTATAAGTAGGTTGTAGTTCTATAATATTAGCATAATACAATACTTATGGGATTATGCTGTAATTACTTTTACAACAAGAGTATATGTTTAAGTACTTGTTTCTGGGCCCATTGTTGTTGGGCTTTTTCGCATAGTGCAAAATTTACATACATGACTTAGGAGACCCCCTAATTAAACAGCAGCACCGCCAACTTTTTTTTTTTTTTTTTTTTTTTTAAAGACTTGTGGGATTTCAGCTAGCTCTGGTGAATTTGAGCCTGGTTTAGGAAAAAACCCCTTTTACTGTCTGCCTTTCCCTCTCTCACACATTGTGGGAAACAGCACCAAATAAGGGTTGCTGTAGGAATCCGAATTCTTTCCCTTCCATAAGGAACCAGCACTGTTCTCACAGGAGGGTGGGAAGAGAGAGACCCAGCACTTCAGAGGGCTCCACTGATCTCCTCTGCTTTGAGCTCAGGGCAGCCCTTCTTCCCCTTCCCTGCCTCCACCTCTACTCCACCAGCTCTGGGAGGACACAGACTTAGACTAAGAATTGATGGGGATGGAGAGCAGAACTAATGTGGAATAGAATTGGTGGGTTTGTGGGACAAGATTGATTTGAGAGATGAGAGGGGAGCATTCATTGCTGAGCCAGGAGATGAGTGCACTCACCTACATCTGTTCCTGCAATGGGGACCAAAATCAGCTTTTCTAGTACATTTCAGATAGTAATTGACTAACACCATGGGCATTAGCAGCGGATGTTCAAAAGCTAAGAGTCTAAATACTCACTATACTTTCTCTAAAAAACTGGTATTTTTTGGGCAGATCTTTAGATATTTTTTTAAGGAGTCTGACTCATGATTTTGGGACTGACACACTATAACTTGTTTCAGTACTATGTCATTATTGATGCATATTGAAAACTGGAAAAATAATTGGAACTAAATAATGTGCAAAAAGAGTACATGAAATTATCAACATGTTTTGGCAGTTTTAAAATATTAAAAATGGTTAGAAATGTGGACTTGTGCCCCTGCCCTAGAATTAAGCATGAAGAAATGTGTCCATACAACTTTCCTATTTCAGTGCCCCAGGTTTCTTTCTCACTTTCTTAATTTAAATGTCTCAATGGCCCACTCCTTTTGTGAGGTCTACAGATCCTAACTAGGGATGTGAAAGTGTAATTGTTAAGCATTCGCTTATCAGATTCTATTATAGTTAGGCTCTGCAGCATTAAAGCTACATACTTTATACTGCAGAACCTGCTAGGATTTTTAGTGGCTACATGGTTACATTTTTAAATGGCTTTTATATCCCTAATTCTAACTGATGCCATTATGTATGTCACCATTTCCACCTATGTTTTTAAAAAAAGTCTTTTGTGCATTCTTGCAGGGTGCCTCTACACAGCAAAAAAAACAAAACAAAATGTGCAACAGTGAGACTGAGTCCAGATTAACTGACTTGCTCCTGCTGCAGTGCTAAAAAAAGCAGTATAGATGCTCAGGCTTGGAGTCTCAGGAGTGTAGAAGTTCCAGCTCTG